CAGTTTTACTGAGATATCATTGACACTCAACATTTGTTGTAGGTTAATGATTTGATATAGGTATGGACTGGGAAATGACCAGCACAATAGCTTACATCCGTCACCACATATAGTTGCAAGTTTTTTCTTGTGAGGAGAACTTTTAAGATCTACTCTCTTTGCAACTTTCAAACATACAATACAGCATAGTCACTGTACATGACCTCCCCAGGACTTATTTATCTTATAACTGGAACTTTGTACCTTTGGACCACCCCTCATTTCCCCCCACACACACACCCCACTGGGTGCATTTTAAAATGTTTGTTGGGGTGTGGAGTGGAGCCCTGGCTGATGCAGCTCCAAAAATAGTCCGTGTGATGGGCAAGGCATGCAGTACACAAGCTCAGGAGATCCAGAAATAAAATTTTAATTTCCTATCACTCAGTGTAATCTTGATCAGACCCTCACTTCTCATCCCAGCCGATTCAGATCCGACCCCCTCCCTGGGGTAGCACCCAGGGGGCTCACCTTTGTCTAAGCCTCTTTCCTCATCCCTGGCAGAGGCTGGAGGAGCAGCTGGTCCTCCCGGCCCTTCCAAGTCTCCTCTGATGCTCAAAACCCCAGACTCTGCAATTCAAACACTTTTTTCTTTCTACGCTACTGATTTGCCGTGAATTTCATAGACATGCTTCGAAACTCAAGAGCTGCCTCCTGGCCTGTGCCAGGAGCACTAAGACTTCCACGAGGCTTAGGCACTTTTGCTAGTGTGGGTCAAGGTCTTAAACCATATTTTACGACCACTCTGGTATAGAGATGGATGCAATCCAGGCTGGATTCGTTGGTACATATTCATTCCTATTCATTCTTCCTTCTGATTCTAAAAGAAATTGAAACATTTTGTAGGTCCCTAAAAATATGTGGGCAGGGGTACTCAATTCAAATGACGTGGGTTAGGGGCACAGGAAGTTCAGGGTGGGAAGGAGACCCACATGCTAACATTTCAAAATGTCAACCCACTGAATTTCCAGCACCCAAGTCCATCCACGTCACTCTGCTGCTCTGAACCCTGCCCAGGAGGACATCCGAGCTCCCTCCCAGCGGTCAAGACCCTCCGTTGGCTGGCTCTCATCTGCCCTCGCAGGCTCAGGTTCCATAGGCCTCTGACACCTCCCTCTTGGATGTTTCCAGAACACCCCAGGCTTCACCGCTCCCCACACCTTTGCTCAGGCTGCCCCCTCCCCTGGGAGCATCGCCCCTTCCCACCTGGACCCCATCATGCACACCTGTGCATCCTTTGAAAGCCAGCTCAAATGTCACTTCCTCTTTGAAGATCCTGGGCCCCTCCCTCCTCTGTATTCCTCATTCATTCTCTGCTGTAGCGCTTACCTGCCCTTCGATGTCCATCTCTTCCCTTTGACTGTGAACCCCCTGAGGGCAGTTGGTTTTCCCATGGATCCCCGGAACCAGTCCTTGAATGCTGACGACATAAGCAGATGACTGACTGAATGAATGAATGAATGAGGGAAATAGGAAATGAGAGCAGTGGTCCGCTTAGGAAAGGGATCCCCTCTGTAGCCCGCCCCCCGTAGATGGAGGGTCTGGACTGATGGTGGAGCCAGGCTGAGCTCCCCTCCCCGTCCCACCCTCTGACTCACCCCCTCCCCAGAGACTGGTTTCTGGGAAAGTGCTGGAAGCTCGGCTTGCCTCCCTGGCTGAATCCTCTGTGTAGACCCCATTCTGCCCCAGGAGTCCCTGTGCTCAGAGGCTGTGCTCTGAGGACACTGGGCCAGGGACCGGGCAGTGCAGAGGAAAGGGTCTTGCGTGTCAGTGGGGATGGGGTCAGGGTGGGCAGTAGCCTGAGGCCCTCCCGGCAGCCCCCACGGAGCCTCCTCCCTTTCTTCTGAAGTGGAGTGATGCAGGATGCCGGGCACCACGGGAACCACCGGGAAAAAAGGGATGACAGCACCTATTCACAGGTTTTCATGAGAACCAAGTGAGAAAACCGTGGGTGCCCAGAGTCCAGGTGGCATCTAGTGGGTGCTAAAGGGATGTCATCTGGGGTGCAGCATGGAGAAGTTCAAGACCCTGCAGGGACTGCCGTCACCCTTTGGGATGCCCAGCACATGAACCCCCTTCCTCTGTCCAGGGCCTTCCTCCCTCCCCCCACCCCATCTTCGGAGGCAGGCCCCTCCCAGCACAGATGCCGCCCCAGCTTTCCCAGCTCCATGGGGTTGCAGGGGGTGCGGCTGGGTAACAGTTGTGTTGGCAGCACCTGGCGTCCAGAGTCAGCATGAGATGAGGGGTCTGGCCAGGGCGTCAGTGGGGGTGTCCACGCCAAGCCGCTCCTGGCATGTGATTTGGGGCGTTGTCCCTGGCTGGGTGTGGCCTTTGGGCCTGGTTCTCTGGCTCTCCCGGAGAATCCATGACACACTCAATAGCCTCTAATGAACCCCTTTCTATTTAAATTAGTCCGAATTGGTTTCTGTTGTTTCAAACCAGAAATCTGGGAAGTGTGGCCGCCCAAAGCTAAGGGGATTGTGGGTAGCATCATTAAAGATCTAGTGCCCAGGGCTTCCCTCGTGGCGCAGTGGTTGAGAGTCCGCCTGCCGATGCAGGGGACGCGGGTTCGTGCCCCGGTCCGGGAAGATCCCACATGCCGCGGAGCGGCTGGGCCCGTGAGCCATGGCCGCTGAGCCTGCGCGTCCGGAGCCTGTGCTCCGCAACGGGAGAGGCCACAGCAGTGAGAGGCCCGTGTACAGCAAAAAAAAAAAAAAAAAAAAGATCTAGTGCCCAGAAGAAGGGCGGGTTTGATCTGTTCATGTCTGCTCTGTGAAGCAAGAGCACAGAAGGGAGGCCCAGCCCCACTCTGGAAGCTATACTCCAGAAGGGCTCGTGACAAACTGGAGGTTACTGGGGGACAATGACCAGGTCAGCGTGGGTCTAGAATTCATAGTGGGGGAGGGGAGCCTGGCTTGGAGCTGAGTAGGCTGAAGGCTCTGGGGAGAACAGCCCACGGTGGTGGGGAGTGAGCCCCAAATTTACCAAGAAGCCAACAAACCTCTTCTTACTCCCCAGGGGGCCTCGCCCAAACCCAGGGGCGCATGCCTGAAGGATGAACAGGCAGAGGGGGCAAATCTCAGTAGCTGAGGATGACTGATAAGGGCCTTGATAAACCACCTGAAAAAATAGCCCTAAGTACGCTGAGAAACCATTATTTTCCTACTGATCACTTAGCCATAGGTCACAGATTGATAATTAGCGTGCTAGCGAGGACACAGGGGAGCTGGCACTCTCCTGTATGTTGATGGCTGTGTACACTGAAACCACCACTGCAGCAGGAAATTTGGCACATCCTACAGAAGTCCCGCCCACACATGTCTTCTGACCTAGGGATTCCATTTCTAGGAATTTATCTTTGGTTACATTTGCTCACGTGCAAAATGACATGTGAGCCATGCTATTGTTCGGTGAAAGCAAATGATGGCGGCAACCTGCTCATCCACTAGCAGGGGACATCAAAGAGATGATGGATGGTACCTCCACACAACAGAAAACTGGGTAAGCGGCAAAGAGAACAAGGGTGTTTTTTGTGTACAGATATGCACGGCTCTCCAAGATAAAAAGAAGTGAAACTCTCAGTGTAACCACTAAGCTACTATTTGTGTATGAACGAAAGAAAAGAAAACCACATGTTTGCTGATGCACTGTAGGCAGAGACTGTCCAAAAGGATGCACAAGGGATCAGGAATAGTGGCTGCCTCAGGGGAGTGGAAGTGGCTGGGAGAGAAGAGAGACTGACTTTTCACTGAAGGCATTGTAAACCTTCAATGCCTTCTGAATTTGGAAAAGCATGCATGTAGTGTATAAATAACAAAATAGGAAAAGAAAACAAAATGTGACAGGAAATAGAACCTGCTAGGCACCCCGACACGAAGTGTGTCCTGGGTGTTTTGGGCAGGTGTCACTGCTCCCTCTTTGCAGGTGATGAAATGGAACCAGCTCGGAGAGGTTCAGGGAGCCACCCAGCGTCACCCAGCAAGGGAGTAGTGGGGCTGGGCCTAGGACCCAAGTCTGCAGTCATGCTTGGGGCAATACCTTCACCGGGAGCCAGCTGCCCAGGGCCAGTTGTTGCTATGCCAGCCCCGGACTGTGACCTCTAGATCTGGGAAGAGGGACAATTCTAGAAACTCAGCTCTAGACACCAAGTCTGGGAGAAAGGTCGTGCCCCCTGTGGAAAGGCCCTCAGTCACGGAGCTCTGGGGAAGCCAGACCTAGCCCTGCCAGGGGACAGCTGTGTGACCTCCAGCAAGTAATTTCCCCTCTATGAACCTGAGCGCCTCATCCAGGTTCCCACATCCCCACTGAGGGGATGTAAAAGCCGTAAATGAGGTGAGACTGAGAAAGGTCCCTCCTCACAAGCAGGTTCACCCAAATAATCCAGGTCTTTCAGACTGGCCCCCGCACCTCTGGATCCCCCAAATCTCTGAGCTGTCCGGCTTCCCCTCCTTCTGGGTCCACGCAGCTCTAACACACACACTCCTATTGTTTACTAAGTTCATCCGATTATTCATCCATTCAATTTACTCCTTTGCAGGGCCTCCAAGCGTCAGCCTCGGGTGGCCAGGGCTATCCTCCTCTCACGACCCCCCACCCCCCACCCCCGCGCATCCCCGCACTTGCTCACGCCTCCCAGAGCACACTCGGGCCCACAGCCCTTGAGCGCCTGGGTACAGGCACTCGGACCACGCCCGCCGCCCACAAGGACCCGTGGCGCAAGTCACCGGGGGCCCTACGGCTCCACTAGACTAGACGGGCGCCCAACGCCCCTCAGCTCCAGCCTGCGCTCCCCAACCCCTCAGCGCAGGCCCCTCCCCTAAACCGCCCCAGGTGCCCAATGAGCGCCGCGGCTCGGGCCGGCCCCGCCCACCCCGGGGAGCCCCGGCTTCCGATTGGTCCTCCCGGGCGCTGTGTCCCCCCTCCTCACATGGGGCGGTGGCGGGGTGAATGAAGTGGGAGCGATTCGTCCGCCCCCGCGCTTACCTACCAGGCTCAGCGGGGCCCGCCCCTCCTGCGCCCAGTCCAGCGCCCGCCAGACCGCCGCCTGCCGCTGCCCTGGACCCTGGCGTCCGGCTCCCCCGTGCCAGGACCCCGCGTCGCGGACCCACGATGGCCAAGCGCAGCTCGCTGTTCATCCGCATCGTGGAGGGGAAGAACCTGCCCGCCAAGGACATGTGAGCGCGGCCGGAGGAGGGAACCCCAACTTTCCGGGGAGGGAAGCTGCCCCTTATGCCTGCCTGACCTTTCTGGGGTCCACACGGCCCGCCCACAAGTAGAGCAGTGGTGAGGGTGTGGCGAGTGTGGCTGCAGTGCGAGACTGCCAGGGAAATGGGGACAGTGAGATTTGCTGCGAGCACCGGACAGGGGGTGACAGGGAAGGGCCGGGGTCTGGGGAGGGGGCGGGGATCTGTAAGGGTCCTTAGTGAATAGGGAGGGAGAGAACGGCCCCTCAAGAGGGGAAGGGGCTTTGATAGGACAGGAGCTGGGCGTGGGGGAGACATCGAAAAGGAGTTGTCTCCATGCACTGCCGGTGTGGGGGGGGAGCGGGGTGTGGCTGGAGGGTGTGGGGTGCCCCCCCTAGAAACGAGGGGTCTTCCTCAGGAGTTCTGGAACCCTTAGTACCTGGGAGTGCACGGGAAACACCATGGGGCCCAGGGGCTGTCCTGGGGCTTCCTGCTGTGCATTTGGGAAGGGAGGGGCTGGCCTGAAGAGTGGACCTTAGGTCAGGAGGCTGGGACCGGTGCAGGATGGGGTGGCTGGGTAGTAGCTGCTCTTGTAGCCTCGGCTTTACCTGAGCCATTGCCTTTAATCCTCACAACCACCCAGCAAGGTCGTTCTCACCGTTCCATTTTACAGATGTGGAAACCGAGGCTCAGAGACGTGAAATGCTGGCTCCAAGTGGCGGAGCAAGGCCTTGAGTCTAGGGCTCCTAACAAGCACTGACTCCTAGGACCTTCCCTGGCCCCTGGCCAGGTTCGAGGAGGTTTCTGAAGCCCCCACCCTCCTCAATAGGTACCAGAGCTGAGCAGTCCAATCCCATCACTGGCTCCCTTGCACGGGCCTTAGGCAGCTCACTGTCCCCAAAGCCTCAGTTTCCCTGCTGTAAACTGGAGGTGGGAATCCCTCTCGGATAAGAGCGGTGGAAAGTACGAAGCTTGAGGGGCCTGGCTGCCTAGAGGAGGGGGCGGGGACGGGGGAGCCCGGAGGCAGCATATGGTCCAAAGTCTGGCAGCCTCCCCACCCCCGGGCTCCTCAGAGAGCTCCCGGATGCAGAGAGGTGGTGGACTGGGGAGTGGGGTGCAGGAGGACGGGCCAAGGGCATCTCCCTCACGCGCACAGTGGCCCCTGTGAGTTTCCCAGCACTTTCAGCGCCATGAGCAGTTCCAGTTCAAGGCCCCCTGGGCCTGAGGAGGCCTGGCTCAGCAGTTGCCATGGCAATGGGTGAGGGAGGGTGCTGGGCGGGCTGTCTCAAGGTGGGTTTCGCTGCGTGGGGGGGAGTTGGGGCGGGAGCTGGGAATGTGGGAAGGCAGATGAGCTCTGAGAGGGGTCTCGGCCTCCAGGCCCAGCATCTAAGCGCCCCCCATGCGGGCACTGGTATCTAGGTCAGCTTGGCCTCCTCTGGCTGGTGGCGCCTGGGAGGAGCAGCCCCTCCATCTGTTGCCTCCCTCCCCATCCCTGCAGCGCTGGCCCTAGTGCCTGACTCTAGGCTTTCAGCAGCCTAGGGCGGTGAAACTGTGGACTCTGCCTACCTGGGAGCCATGGTGCCGGGTTCCCTGCCCAGCCCTGCCTCTGCACAGCTGAGGGACACCACCAGGTGCTTCCATCCCCAGGGGAGGGTCCCCCAAGTTCTGCCTCCAGAATCTCTTTCCTTGCCCTGCCCTCCTGCCTCCTCACCTCCCCCTACCTCCTTTCCTCTGCCTTCCGCATAGAGGCTGGTGTGCACAGCTCTGACCGTCAACCATCTCTTAAATCCAGCTGTGAACCTCCGCCACCCCAGTCCCTCACATTTGGGCTACTGGCCTTCACAGCCCTGCTTCTGCACATGTGTGAGTCTTCTGCCTTCAAGGACTCCCCTTCAGGGTTCACTGGAAAACTCCTATTCACCCTTTAAAACCTCTTCCAAACCTCTACTCCTCTTCAGGACTTTCCCTGGTGCCCTTGGGCAGGGTTCCTTGCCCCTGCTCCATGCCTTCTGGCACTTCGGGTGAGCTGGAATTAGGACAAAGCCCTTGATAGCAATTGCTTCTTCGTGGGCTGCCTGCACCACGTGACTCTAAGGGCAGGAACCATGACTCATTCGTCTTGGCATGCCAGGTCCCTTGGGACGCCTGGTCCACAGTAGGGGAGATTCAGATGTGTCCAGGACCTTCCCGTTTAATCCTCTTATTAACCCTATAACGTAGATATGCTCCATTTGTAGATGGGGAAACCGCGGCTCAGGATGGAAAGTCCTTTTCCAAGGCCACACAGCCAGTAGGGGGAGAAGTCAGGATTCAAACCCAGTCTGCTGCTGACAGGCCAACCGAGCTGGACCCAGGTTGCAAGCTTGCCGGGGGGGCTCAGTGGGGACCAAGCCTCGCAAATGCCATGCAGAGCGTTGGCTTAGGCATGGCGGGGGTTTGGAGATCACAGGAGACCCTCCCCAAGTGCTGGAGGCACGGGGGGTGGTGAGCCTGCCCCACTGGACCTCATCAGCCCCAGCTTGTCTCCCGAGCAGCATCCCTTCCAGCTGGGACTTGCATGCTTCTGAGGACGGGGAGTTCACTTTCATCCATGGTGACCCATCTTGACTGAGGCAGTTCTGAGGAAGGGCGTCATCACACAGTGACCACTTGCCTCCCGGCCACTTCCACTCATGGGTTTTTAGTCCCCTTAAGGGCACAGAGCACAGCTGTGCACCCTATCACCAACAGCTTCCAGAGCCCACCTGTTTCTGTCATGCTTCCTCCCATCCTTGGGTGCCTGGGTCAGCCATACAGGAGCTGAGTCTCATGGTGACCAGTGACCCACTGGCTCCCACGCCCAGTGGCCCTGGGGACGGGCCCGGGGCTATTTTGGGGTTTACCCTGATCCTCCCCATTCCACAGCCTGGAGACTGCCAAGGCCCTAAATATAGAGGCCCCACAAGGAGCCAGGCTGGGCCAGCCACAGTTGGGCGCAGGTCCTTAAATCTGGCCTCAGCCCACTCTTGACACTGCCCCCTTCCGCCCCTCTGATCCAGCCCCCCAGCTCATGGCAGCCCTGCACACTAGGTCTGTTCCTGCCCGCAGGCCTTTGCCCACCCCAGTGACCCCGCCTGCAACAGGAGCCCCAAACCTCACTGTTCAGTAGGGATTCATTCGTTGAGCTGCGCAGTGGGCAGTGCCCAGTCTTAGGAGACATTTCCCATCAGTGTAAGGAGAACCTTTGGAGATGTTTGTCTCCAGTAGCTTCCTCTGCCGGAAGATCCCCTTTTGAGAAGGGAAGCTGGGCTTGGAATTCCCCAACCTCCAACATGCAAATACACTTCCTTTTTATGGATACCAGGCCTGAAGGGCACTTCTGAAGACAGGCCGCCCCCGCTTCTTGCCCAACAGTGGCCCTGGGCCAGGCCGGTGCTGCCCTCAACCCCAGGAATCAATTCCCCACCAACAGAGACAGGAGGAACCAAGCGGTCTGGGTTGCCTGGCCCATTCGTTCTTTTCCAGATGGCTGGGAGCTTGAGGCCAATGGTTTTATTCGTTCATTCATTCATTCATCCAACAAACACTCAAGGGACCCTGTCAACACAGAAGTGGTCCCCACGCTCAGGTAGCTCATAGACGGGTAGGGGAGGCAGCTGACGACAGTACCTCATAGCAGTGCTGGGATGGAGGGAAACGTGCCAGGGAGGGGGCTGGCGGGGGGATGGCAGGGGAGCCCTTACTCCGGGCCTCTGGGACAGGAGAGGGCTCTTAGTGAAGGGGACTGAGGAGGGGTCTTGGGAGGAGTGGGAAGACAGTCCAGGCGGGAGGCACTGGAGGAAGCAAGTCTGAGCGGAGAGAGTGAGGGGCTGACTTGGCTGGGGGTAGGCTGTTGTGACTTGTTTCTGTCCTCCCTGGCTGGGGTGGGGCGGGGTGGGGGGGCTGTGGGAGCCAGCAGGAAGGAGAAGCACCTTCCCCCCCGCTGAAGGCCAGCAGCGGGCAGGGGAGCCTTGGCGCGCGATCCTGCCTTTGCCTCACCAGCCCCCTCCCAGACCGAGGGTGGAGGTACTTTCCTGCCTGAGGAATCTTTGGGTCCCAGCCCAGGACCTGGTGCCTCAGCCTTGACTGTCTTTTTCCTGGGGTCGCTGGGAGCCCCTGGAGGAGGAAGGAGGGGTGCCCACGGCCGGCCGCCCCATCAGTCAGCCCCTCCCCGCCTGTCTCTTGCAGCACGGGCAGCAGCGATCCCTACTGCATCGTGAAGGTGGACCACGAGCCCATCATAAGGTACCGCCCTCGCCCCACCCCCACCCGAGGGTGAGTGAGATGGGCTGCCCCGGCCGTTTGAACTCACGCATCTGGCGTGTGTGTGTGTGTGTGTGTGTGTGTGTGTGTGTGTGTGAGAAATGTGCGTGGCAAGGGCTTGGAGCGTCTGATTCCCTGGAGCCCATCAGGCCCTAACAGCCTGCTAGGAGGTAAGAAAGACCCACTAGGCTTGCTAATTGCTGACCTTATCGCCCACGGAGGGATCATCTACCGTGGGCTGGGTGCTCAGGCAAGGGCCTCTCCCCGACTCTGTCGCTCTTTACAACCCGCAGAAGGGACAGATGATGATGACTAGTTACCACAGCCGTCACTTAGGGAATGTGGTCTCTGCCAGGCCCTGTGAGAAACCTTTTCCAGCCCGTTTAATGCTTCCAGCGAGCTCCGTACAATAGGGTCACATCCTGTTTACAGAAGAACTAACTTGTCCAGAAGGGCCGCTTCCCCTGGGCATCCCTTTCTCCATGGGCTCCATGATTCTGGCAGGGTCTTTGCTGTTTGGTCCCCTCTCTCACTCAGGCCTTTGCCTCAAAGTTCATGGCCAAAGCTCAGCTCAGCTCTTCTGCCCATCTGGGTGTCCACTGCTGATTGAGAACCAAGGCTGCCGTACAGAGTTCTTCTCACTGCAGACGCCTTTTTCCAGATTCTCTCCTGAGCATGGGCACCATGAGGGGGGAGACATGCATGCTCTGATTGTCTCAATGACAGACAGAGAAACCAAGGCCCCAGAGTTCAAGTGACCTGTCCAAGAACTGGTTGGGATGAAGGTGATCCCCTGAGCCTTCATCTGGGTCCTTGGGGAGTTGCAGCTTCCCCACATCCACATACCCTGCTGAGCCCTATGTGATGAAGGTTCTGTCCTGGGGGGTTCGGCCAGAACTGGGTGAGGCTTTGCCCATACAGGACCTCTGTGGGTCAGGACCCAGACCTTGGCTCTCAGGGCCCCCAGGAGGACTCTGTCTCCAGAGTCAACTTGGCCATCCCCCTGCCTCTACAGTGAGTCTGTCCAGCATCAGGGGCCAGGGGGAGGCTTTGGTCCTGGCTCTGCCACTGTCCTGCTGTGTGACCTGAGGCCAGCTACTGCCAACTCTGGTCTCAGTTTCCCCCAATGGAAAATGGCCTGATAGACGCAGCCTGTGCCCCACCCAGGGCAGAGAGGAAGGTCAGGAGGGAATGATTGGTGATGGACGGTGGGTCCGGGACAGGGAGAATCATCACCTAGCAGAGCAGTTTTTCCCGGGAATGGAGGCAGCTGTGGGGAAAGGTGGGCTCAAGTCACACAGCCCCGCCTTGTCCCAGCCCGGGGCCTGCGGGCGGCCCAGGCAAGTGCTGAGGGTCCTCTCTTGCAGGACAGCCACTGTGTGGAAGACCCTGTGCCCCTTCTGGGGCGAGGAGTATCAGGTGCACCTGCTGCCCACCTTCCACTCGGTGGCTTTCTACGTCATGGACGAAGATGCCCTCAGGTGGGTGGAACCCCAGTCCTCAGCTGGGGCCCAGACCCCACCACTTGTCCCTCTCTGGCCCATTTCACTGCTGGGACTGCTGGTCACGGCATCCTCTGTACAGCCTGGAGGGAGGGGGAGCCCGGGGGGATCTGGAAGGTGCAGGGTTTGGATGTGCGGCGTCTGTGTATGTGTGTGTGGATTCCTTGTGCTCCCACCACATCACGCGTGTGCACGTGCACTGGGCTGTGTGTGCGCGGGGATGCAAGCTAGGAAACAGGCCCCTGGAGAGAAGAGCTTGGCATGTTTGCGGGCATGTGTGTCAGTCCACGCGCGGAAACATATCCCATGCCTATGAGAGGGCCTACAGAAGGGTTATGGGTCTGGCTCCGTGGGCTCCGATAAGTGACTGGAGTGTCAGTCTCCCTGCTCCCCCCCAGGGGCCCCGACCTGTGTGGGAGGGGGTCCTGGGCTCCGCACCGAGCCCCGCCCAGCTCTGGCTCCCTCTCCACCCTCCAGCCGGGACGACGTCATCGGGAAAGTCTGCCTTACCAGGGACACCCTGGCTACTCACCCTAAGGGTAAGATCCCGGGAGGGAGCCCACTCTTTTTCCTCCCCTGGCCTCCCTCCCCTGGCCCCCCACTTGTCTGCCTAGTCCCCGGCCCATCCTCCACTCTGAGACCCTTCTTCTGGGCTCCTTCAGGCCCCCATGCTCAGGAAAAGCCATTTCTACCCTCCCCAGAAGGGCCTGTGGCCCTCTCCAACTCCTGCACCCCGGCCTCTGTGCCCCATTCTCCCCGCCCTCAGTTGGGACCACATCCCCCCAGGGCAAAGAGGGGCTGCTAGTGGTGGGATCTGAGGCGTCTGCAGGCAGAGGAAGGGGCCTCTTTATGCTGCATGGCCCAGGTGTGGGAACCCCTCCTTCCAATCTGGCTGGCTCTGTACCCCACGGGGTCCCCTCAGCCTGGGTCCTAGTGTCCTAAGTCTGAGGGGTCGGCCTGGAGCGGGGCCAGGCTGGAGAGCGCCTTGGAGGATTCTGGGGATGCGGACATTGTTTGGAGGGGTCAGCCCTGCCCTAGCCTCGCCGTGTGACGTGGTGCTGCCTCCTCTGGACTGAGTCCCCATCTGCCAGTGAAGGTTCAGACCAGGAGCTCTGAGATGCCTCAGACTCTGCTGCCGGAGCCCCTGTGACTCTCAAGGGCCCTTCCCGGCACGCACCTGCTCCTGTCCGTGAGGCTGGGGCAGGCCTGGGGGCAGGGGCGTCTGCTGACTCACGGAGCCTCTTGGCCCCTGCCAGGCCTGAGGCCTGTCCTGCCTGTGGCCCCAGCCAGCCCCTTGGGGGCCAGTGGCCCTAATGATGCCATTGCCTCGTCGCACCCCCATCTGGGCTTAGGCCTTCCTCCCAGCACCCCTGGGCGAGAGCCACTCTCCCCCTGTTTTGAGATGAGGAAACTGAGGCAGAGAGGCCGGTCCCAGGATGGGTCAGGGTCAGGGCCACCAAATGCAGCGTGGCCCAAGAGTGAGGACTTGGACTTTGACCCAGGCTCTTCTAACCACTGTTGTTCAGCTTCTGAACCTCAGTTTCCCCATCTGTCGCTGGGGACAGCAGCCCCTGCCTCGTGGGAGCTTGACAGGCTTCCGAGGGGCCTGTGCAGGGGCCCGTGGTGCTGGAGGGGCTGAGAGAGAAGGGCCAGCGCCCTGGCTGAGCCGCGGCCCCTCAGGTTTCAGTGGATGGGCCCATCTGACGGAGGTCGACCCTGATGAGGAGGTGCAGGGCGAGATCCACCTGCGGCTGGAAGTGGTGCTGGGGACCCGGGCCTGCCGGCTGCGCTGCTCTGTGCTGGAGGCCAGGTGAGCCCTGGGAGACCAGGCAGTGGGCCCCACAAAACTAGAGAAACCCGGGCTTCCCTGGTGGCGCAGTGGTTGAGAGTCCGCCTGCCGATGCAGGGGACACGGGTTCGTGCCCCGGTCCGGGAAGATCCCACATGCCGCGGAGTGGCTGGGCCCGTGAGCCGTGGCCGCTGAGCCTGCGCGTCCGGAGCCTGTGCTCCGCAACGGGAGAGGCCACAACAGTGAGAGGCCCGCGTACCACAAAAACAAACAAACAAACAAAAAAAACAACTAGAGAAACCCACTGTGGACGCTGGGCCTCCTCTCCCCCGAGTCCGCCTCCTGACCCCATGCCTCCTCCCTGGACAGCGGGCTCTTGGGCACATGGGGGCGGCTTCTCTGACCTGAAGACGTTTCCCAGGTGACCCCACTCAGGAGGCTGTGTCTCTTAGGGGAAGGGATGATGTTCTAATGCTGGAAATTCAGGCATCCTAGAGCAGTGGGGGTGATGGGTGACAGGGGACCCTGAACCCTGATCATACAGCCCCAGTGCCAAGACTGGGCTTCCCTGGCTTTAACTTCAATATGAACTTGGCCCGACTTGTGAGGTGGGTGGGGGTCCTTGGTGGGGTGGGGGGGGTTGGAAGGAGTTGCTGAAAACCTCCAGATGGGAGGGACGGGGTTCTCTCCAGGAGCGATAGCGACTTGGATGGGAAGATGGGCCTGTCACCTGTGACAGGGAACCCCCCACCCCTAGCAGGGTATTTTTAGCTGCAGGCCCCACTCCCACCTGGGCCTGAGTGTGAGTCACACACACTCCATGAGACGCACCTTCCTGTCTGGCTCCAACTCACCTCCGCCGGCTGCTTGCCTGGCTCTGGGGTGGGAGCAGGCGGTGTACCCCAGCCTCCGCCTGCGTCCCTTGGAGGCACACGCCGGTGGGCCGGCACCTGTGGAGGAGCCGCGGGGTGGCTGGCCACGCTGGGAGGAAGACCTCCCTCCTGAACATGAGGCCTGCGGCTCCGCCGGCTTTATTTTCTGTCCTGGGGCGGGTATGTGGAACAGGCAGGGCCAGCTGGAAAAGGTTTGGCCTTGGGCAGAATCACAGTCACGTCCCTCACGCTCTGTCATCCTCGCGGGCCATCCACGCCTCTGCTCACCCACTTCCTCCTTCCTCAGCCTCGCCCGGGCCAGGCTCTCTGTAACCCGCATGCTCACACGCTCACGCACACTCGCACACACGCACACACGTGCACACACGCTGCCCAGACTGTCGGGGACACGACGGCTGGGCCAGCCCGGCCTCCTCTTAGCAAGTGCCTGGGTGGGAGAGGGGGGCAGTGGTCAGTCAGCCCTCTGTCTGGCGTGTGAGGGCACTCGTCCCCCAGGCTCCTTGGCTCCAACCCCCGTAAGGAGCTGCCTTCGTGGCAGAAACAGAACATTGCCTCCTCATCTTTCTGGGCAGATTCTCAAGGCCAAACTCTGGAATTTTATTAGACAGTTCTGAGGAGGAAAGAAAAGCAGTCACGAGAGGCATAAAATGGAAAAGACGGAAAAGAGCAGAAAATAATACTTCCAGGGAGGGGAATGGGGCTGGGCTTTGAGGTTCTTCCAGAGGGTTCTAAGCTGGGGGCACCGCGGCCAGCCTTGGGCTTCCTAAAGGACCGTCTGTGGAGAGAGGGCAGGATGGTGGTCGGGGCCGCCCACCAAGGCCTCCCTCAAGTAAGGGGGATATTGTGGGGACAGGCCTTCTAGAAGCCCATCATCTCAATCCAAGGGATTATCTTCTCCATTTTACTGATGCAGAAACCGAGCCTCAGGGAGGTGGCCCTTGCCCTGGAAAGGGGGAGGGGGAGGGGGGGCGCCCCTGGCCTGGGCTGACCCACGGCTGAGCCTGCCTTGCCTGCCCCACCCGCCAGAGGAGGTGCAGCGGCCGACCTGCAGCGGCCGAGTCAGAAGGAGCCTTGGAGGACGCCCCCACCCCAGGGGTCCATGGGGTGACCGTGGTGGGAACGGCTGGAAGGCTGACAGCCACCCAGCTGGCCAGGCCCAGGAGGAGCCCAGGCCTTTCCAGCCCGGCGTGGGGTTACCCCACAGTGGTGGGGTGTTAGCCCAGGGGACGCTTGGTGACAAGTGGATGCTCTCCTCCCTCGCAGGGACCTGGCCCCCAAGGACCGGAATGGTGCATCTGACCCCTTTGTCCGAGTGCGCTACAACGGCCGGACACAGGAGACCTCGGTGAGGAGGCTGGGGGACCGGGAGGGGGCAGGGGGGTTTTCACCATCACCTGGGAGGTCAGGTTGGGCCTGCAGTCTTACAGAGGAGGCTTAGAAAAGCGGGGCCACCTCTCCAAGAGTGCACAGTGGGTCCAAGCCCTTCTGGTGCCAGCTCCTGTGGCCTCAGCCGCCTTTCACTCCTGGCCCAGATGGGCCGAGACAGCCCAGCTGCGGTTAATCTGCAAAGTCCAACAGCTGCCCACGCGACTTTTCTCACCTCTGGGGAACAGCCAGGGTGGTGAGCTCAGTCCTGAGCGGGGAGGACGTCGAGACCTGGGTTCTCAGTGCAACCTGCTACCATTTTGCTGTGTGGCCTTGGGCAAGTGCCTTACCCACTCTGGGCCTCAATTTCCCCACTTGAGAACCGAGTAGGGGCTTGGACAGGAAGTTTTTACCTCTGCTATTTCGGGGCCTCTGCCCGGACCGAGGAGAGGAAGCTGCATCAGGACCCCTGCGGGGAAGGTGCGGTGTGGGGGGGTCTGTCCTTGGCTGGGCCTGGGGAGCCGCATGGCATCAGCCCTGCCCCTGCTGACCCCTTTCTGGGCAGATCGTGAAGAAGTCACGCTACCCACGCTGGAATGAGACGTTTGAATTCGAGCTGGAAGAGGGGGCGGCGGAGGCGCTGTGTGTGGAGGCCTGGGACTGGGACCTTGTCAGCCGCAATGACTTCCTGGGCAAGGTGAGCACCCTGCCCCTTCAGGCCACACCCGCCCGGCCTCCCTCCTGGCCATCCTGTCCGGCCATCCCCAGGAGGCCCGGGACTCCCCAGAGCCAGCCACTGGCGCTCAGGGACCCTCGGAAGGTACCCCCTCTTAAAAGTACAGTAGTTGGCAAGGAAGAGACCTGAGGATCCCAGCCCCAGGATGTCCCCCGACCCATAACGCCTCTGCCCCACCCCCAGGTGGTGTTCAATGTCCAGAGACTCCGGGCGGCCCAGCAGGAGGAGGGCTGGTTCCGGCTGCAGCCCGACCAGTCCAAGAGTCGGCGAGAAGAGTGAGTGCCTGTGGCTCGGTGGCAGGGTTGGCAGGGCTGGCGGGCTCTGGGCCCCAGGAGGCAGAGCGTTGGTGCCAACAGGGAGACAGGTGTGCTGGTAACGGGTGGGTGAGGCCGCCCCAGGTTTCTTGCGGCCCTCGCCCACCAGGCTAGCATCCTTCTCCATCTGGCCGGATCCCGCCTCTTCCCTCTTTCTCACAGTCCTGGACTCAGCCCTGCCCTCAGGGCTCCAAGGCAATACACGTCTCCTGCCTTCTGTCTTCTGGCAGATTCTAGAACAAGCCTTCAGATACCTTCCCTTTAAGGGTTTCTCTGCAGACCTTACTTAGCCCAGTGTTCAAGTCCCCAGAGCTCTGAAGCAGTATCCCTGAACCATAGCTCCTCCCAATTTTCCAGGAATAGGATTACCAGATAAAATACAGGATATTCAGTAAAACTGAATTTCAGATAAACCTTGAATAATTTTTTAGCGTATGTCCATCCAATATCTGAGACAAACTTATATTACAAATACTCAATTTATCGGAGTGTCTTGTATTTTTATTTTGGTAAATCTGGCAGCCTTATCAAGGGAGCCCTCTGGCCTCTTTGCCCACTACTTAGCCCGGAAGTGGCGGACCAGCAGTGTCCCCCCCTCGGATGCTTCAGCTCTGTCTCTCCACAGGAGGCCCCAGGCCCCCCCATCCCCACCCTCAGCAGGGCAGGGGCTGGGCACACGCCTGTGTCCAGCTCCAAGGCGTTTCTACAGAACCAGCCACGGCAGACTTGATGGCTTCTAGAAGCCACGTGTCACTTAGCCGTGCTGTGCTGCGGGTAGCGGGGGGCCGTAGAGACTGTCAAGCCTTGGTCATCAGCCTCCCCTAGAAGGGTCAGAGCAAGGGAGCTTGGAAGTTAGGTCTGATGTGGCAAGGTGCTTACCCTGTTTGAGCTTCAGTTTCCCCTGGCAGGTTGTTTTGAAGCTTGGGGATCTGATTTGCTTCCAGTGTAAAATGTATACATGCGGGAGCTATTTTCTGGGAGTTGACAGGCTCAAGGCTGGAGAGTCCACATGGGTGAAGCCTAGAGTCCACAGGAGTATAGAGGTGGCGGAGAGCCAGGCCTTGAAGACGGATGGAGGATGGAGGCAGGAAAAGCTTTCCAAACAGAGAGAACAGCCCGGGCAGAAAATGGGAGGGGAGGCGGTGTAGGGAACCACGGTGGAGGGCACGCACAGAGAGACCGCAGGGAAAACGGAGGCAGTGGGGAAGGGGGCACGGCCCCGGGCAGCCTGGGTCCCTGGTGGAGAGGTCACAGGCTGCCCGTTCCAGGGGCAACCTGGGCTCCTTGCAGCTGGAGGTGCGGCTGCGGGACGAGATGGTGCTGCCCTCCGGCTGCTACCAGCCCCTGGTGCAGCTGCTCTGCCATGAGGTGAAGCTGGGCACCCAGGTGAGGGGGCCCCTGGGGGCAGGTGGGAGGGTCCAGGGACAGTACGTGTGTCCTCCCTGTCCTTCTAAACCCACTCTGAAGAGCAGAGACCTGAGTTGTCAGGATGGTAAGGCACCAGCCAGTGCCTAGGGCCCCTCCGTCCCTTGGGAAAGTGCCCCCCCTTCCCCATGGTCCTCTGCGGTCCTCAGAGTGAAGGGTTTGGCTTCCCCTGTGCGTCCTGCAGCTGCACCTCTCCTTGCTGCCTCCCGCAGAGCCCAGGGCAGCTGATCCTACTCATCGAGGAGACGACAAGCACGGAATGCCGCCAGGACGTGGCCACAACCCTGCTCAAGCTTTTCCTGGGGCAGGGACTGGCCAAAGACTTCCTGGACCTGCTCTTTCAGCTAGAGCTGGGTCGCACCAGTGAGGCCTGGGAGGGAGTGGCCGGTCTGAGGGCATGGTGGGGGACCAGAGCCCAGGACTCCAGGGATGCTGGGAGGAGAGAAACCTCAAAGTCCTCCTGTAGGAGGCTCATGGGTCCGATTAAGGAGGGAGAAGGGTCAGATTAGGAGGCAAAAGAAAGAGCAAAAGGCAGAGGTGGGGTGCTGGGTTGGGAGGTGGCCAGGAGGCTCTTTACTGAGCATCCAGCACAGAGCCCCCAGCCCCAGGGTCCTCCATCCTCCTCCCCAAAGCCTTGTCCCTCTGCCAACCCCCTACCCATGGGGACCTCTGCTCGTAGGTGAGGCCAACACCCTGTTTCGAAGCAATTCTCTGGCCTCCAAGTCCATGGAGTCTTTTCTGAAGGTGAGTTTGCATAGTATATTGTCTTTGTTTTATAGATGAGGAGACTGAGGTTCAGAGAGGCTAAGAGACAGAGTTGAAACTTAAACTTGACTCTTCTGTCTCCCGTCCAGGGCCCTTTAAGGATAAGAATTTCATTCACTCATTCACTCATTCATTCATTCATTCATTCATGTAGCTGCAGTTTGTTGAGCCACCTTCCCCTGTGTGCCTGGCTCTATCCTGGGTGGATAGATGCCCGAGGTGGCTGGGAGGCCAGCTGCGAGGAAGATGGCGGGCAGCAGGAGGTGGGAGATGGGACCAATGCGGCTCGCGGTGGCCCCCAGGTGGCTGGAATGCGGTATCTGCACGGCGTCCTGGGCCCCATCATTGACAGGGTGTTTGAGGAGAAGAAGTACGTGGAGCTGGACCCCAGCAAGGTGGAGGTCAAGGATGTAGGGTGAGGCCAGGGGTGATCCCTGAAGGCGCGGTGGCGGGGGTGGGGGGCGAAGAGTCAGGCCCTTTCTTCAAGTGTGTGTTTAAGTGCTCTTTCTGCCTGGTCTATCTTTCGTCTGCACTGCCCACCTGTGCGTGGTCTCTGTGTCCCTCTCTTGGCTGATGTCTTTCTACGCCTGTGTCTCCGGGTGCCCCTGTCCGAGTCATGAGTGCAAGCGCTGACGTCGACCTTTCTGCGGGTCTGCCCCGGGCTCACTCAGGTGCTCCGGGTTGCACCGCCCGCAGACTGAAGCTGAAGTGCTGGAGCAGAGCGCGCAGACGCTGCGCGCCCACTTGGGGGCGCTGTTGAGCTCGCTCAGTCGCTCGGTTCGCGCATGCCCTGCCGTGGTCCGCGCCACCTTCCGCCAGCTCTTCCGGCGCGTGCGCGAGCGCTTCCCCAGCGCCCAGGACGAGGTGCGCTCGCTGCCGGTGGGGCTGGGCGGAGGGGAGAAAGTGGGGGGAAAAGAAGTGGTGGAGCCCCAAGATGTGGTAGGAAGGGCCTGATGGTTAGAAGCCGAGGGCGGGGCTGGGGCCCGGGGTGGGAAGTTGATGCGGAGTTGTGGGGACAGCGCCAAAGGGAAAGGGGCTGTCAGAGCCCAGGCTTAGGGGAGTCCAGCCCCCAACGCTCGCTCACCCCTCCAGAACGTGCCCTTCATCGCCGTCACCAGCTTCCTGTGCCTGCGCTTCATCTCTCCTGCCATCATGGCGCCCAAGCTCTTCCACCTGCGGGAGCGGCACGCGGACGCCCGCACCAGCCGCACCCTGCTCCTGCTGGCCAAGGTCCGGGGCTGTGGACGCTGGTGGGAGGTGCTTAGCTGGCTGCTGAATAGGGGTCCTTGCCTGGACTGCCGTGTGTTCCCCATTGGCTCGAGGAAAGCCTTGTGGCAGGCCACGGTACCCTCATGTGACACTGCGCTTCACAGTCTACAGAGCTTTCTCATGGTCACCCAGTCTCATGGATAAGGGAACAGGTCCACAGCAGGAGGTCGCCTAAGGCCTCACAGCCTGTCAGGGGTGAACTGGAGTCTTCTAACCCCCAGATCTACTCACTCCCAGACTGCACTTATGTGTTTGGCACCAGGTTGGGGCCAGGGTACCCAGTGGAGCAGAATCTGTTGTTAAATCTGCAGAGGAAGGTCACCAGGTTGGGCCCAAGTGGTCTCAACTGTAAGTCCCCGAAAGGTCTCAAGCTGTGATCGTTCACCCCTGACCCCCAGTGGGGATAGAGTAGGCCCGTGAGCAGAGCCTGTGCCATCTCAACCTCCATGTCTACAGTGGGAGTAGTACAGACTGGGTGGGGGTGGGGGGAGCGGCAGTGGCCCGGCCTCTGACCCAGCAGAGCCTGGCCTTTTTTGCTGTCAACCCCCAGGCGGTCCAGAATGTGGGCAACATGGACACACCAGCTTCCAGGGCTAAGGAGGCTTGGATGGAACCGCTGCAGCCCACGGTGCGCCAGGGCGTGGCCCAGCTGAAGGACTTCATCACCAAGTTGGTAGACATCCAGGAGAAAGAGGGTGAGCGCTTCCCCGTGCGGCCCCGCCCTCACCCGCCGATCACGTTTGCCCCGCCCCCGTCCCATGGCCTCGCCCCCCCCGTGCCACGGCCTCGCCCCCTTCAGTGCCTCTCGCAGCTCCACCCACAACCTGCTGTTGAAGTTTGCTCCGCCCCAGTCCCCGCCCTCGGTCCGCCCCGCCTTCCCCTCCATTGGGCTCACCTGTCACCTTCCCTCCCTGGCCTACAGAGCTGGACCTGCAGCGGGCCCTGAGCTTGCAGGCGCCGCTGCTGAAGGAGGGGCCGCTCTTCATACACAGGACCAAGGGCAAGGGCCCCCTCATGTCTTCCTCCTTTAAGAAGCTCCACTTCTCCCTCACCACGGAGGCCCTCAGCTTTGCCAAGACACCCAGCTCCAAGGTGGGTAAGGAAGGATGAGGGCAAGTAGCGCTCTGAGGGGTTATAACACCCTGGAGGCACCTTTCGCTTCCTCGGAGCCCATCCCAGGGTCCACCGGGATCAGAAGAAAGCCAGACAGATGCAGGCTCCTGGTGTCAGCCACAAGGTCACTTAAGACCCGTGAGAAAGAAGGTCCTCTGTTCAGGGGGTCCTGGTGTGGGCAGCGGCTGCAGTGTCTAGCCCTGGCTTCTAGGTCAGGTGCATGAGGAAGATGGGGCACTGGGAGCTCAGGGAAGCAGAGAGGGGCTGAGAGGCGTCCTGGGTTCCTGCCCTGTGCACCTAGGGGAAGTGTGTCAACCTCTCTGAGCCTTGGTGTCTTGGCCTGTAAATTGGAGATAATGGTTCCTACTTACCAGGTTGTTGAGAATTAGATGAGATGAGCTCTCTAAGGGTCCAGAGCCTGGCACAGAGCAGGATCTAGACCAGTGGTATTACTGAAGACACTACGTCCCCTGGGCTGGCCTCTCCTGAGCACTTTGCTCCCAAAAAGTGCTGAGCACATACTTCCTGAATGGACCTGTTGACCCCCTAGCAGGGCCAACCTAACCCCCAGTCAGCCAGGATCTGGGGGAAGGTCTCCAGGGATGCCCAACCAGCCCTGTGCAGTTTGGGGTGGGGGCAGAGGGAGTGAAGGAGCTCAGGTGACCCCTCAGCCCAGGCCTCCCACTTTCCAGCTTCTTTCCCTCTGGGCAGCTGCCCGGCCCTCGGGTTCCCTGGGCAAAGCCTGGCTACCCACCCTGCTCTGGGCCCCTTTCCGCTCCTAGGCATGGAGCTGTGCCATCCTCTGGGCACCCCCGTGTATCCCCCTGTGCAGCACCGCCCGCACTACTGCCTCGTTTCTGCCTCATCTCCAGCAGACACCCCAGTACACGCAGCACATCCTCCTCTGGACTGTCCCTTCTATCCTTTGGGAAGCCCCACCCAGAGACAGCTCAGACATGGGTCCTCAGGGCTCCCCTCCAGGTTTCCCCACTCCTCCCAAGAGATGGCACTGCCCCTCTCTGCTTGTCCCTGAGGCCAGCAGGGGTGGTGAGCTTGGATGCCTGAGGGCCGTGGGGACTGGTCCTTCGGATGCTGAAGGGCGCTGGTGAGTTCCCGAAGCAAGGAGAACAGCGTCTGGGCGCTGGCAGCGTAGTTCAGCTTTAGCAGGTTGGGAGTCCCTCAGGGTCATGGACGTTTTAGGTCCAGAGCTTCTGTCTGTCCCATGTGTATCTCATCAAATTCGATGATGGCAGGAGTGGGGCAGGGTCCGGCAGGTGGGATGTGACCTTTAGGGCCTGCGAGAACAAAGGTGAGTTGGGAAAATAAGTGCAAAGGCACAGGGCCTGGTCCACAGCAGGCAGTGCTCTCCAGCCCCGGAAAGCTGCGTTTCCTGGCCCTTTGCTAAAGCTCAGACCTCCCAGGACTGCTGGGAGCCCACAGAGGCCAGGCACATGTGTCTGCGCTCTGTCCTGGCTGAGGTCACTCTCAGAGTAGGCTCCTGGGAGGGCAGGCACTCTGGATCCCCAACACCAACCCCTGATGCTGCAGAAGGGGAGACTGAGGCCCAGAGATAGGAAGTGGAGTGACCCCGGCTAGGACCCTGAGCCTCCTTTCCCCTGTTCCCCCTCTCGCCCAGAAAAGCACCCTCATCAAGCTTGCCCACATCCGGGCAGCAGAAAAGGTGGAGGAGAAGAGCTTTGGCAGCTCCCACGTCATGCAGGTCATCTACACGGACGACGTGGGCAGGTCCCAGACCGCCTACCTGCAGTGCAAGGTGTGGGCCAGGCCGAGGGGGCACCTGCAAATAGGGGTGCTGTGGGAGAATGCCTGGGTGGGCTGGAATGAGGATCGAGTGAACCTCCCACCCCTTGTCGGCCGCGTCAGGCACAGCGGGGGTGTGAAATCTGACGTGAGTGCGGCGTGTGTGTCTCCTGGGGGCTGGGTGCCTGGGAGGCCGTGCCCATGTCTCTGCGTGGCCCTGCTTTGGCACCCACACGTAGGTCTAGGTGTGGTCTGGTGCGTGGACTGGCGTGTCCCCATGTCTTGAAGCTTCACATTGTGCATGTTTTTGGCAACTGTATTTCCAAGTATCTGAGTTGCTGCTTGTGTGTTTCTGTGTGTGTGTGTGTGTGTGTATCTACACATAACAGTCACACACTTATGTGAGTGTGTGGCTCTGGGTGCACACTCTCAAGTCCCTTTCTCCTCTGTTCACGTATTAATCCATTCATTCACTCATTCATTCACTCACTCATTCATTCATTCATTCATCTAAAAAATATTTATTGAGCACCTTCTGGGTTCCAGGCACTATTCTAAGTGGTGGGGTTACAGCGGCAGACAAAACAGCGTCCTTGCCCTCGTGGAGCTTCCATCCCAGGGGAGAAGATGGACCCATAAATAAATATTTAAAATGTCAAACGGGAACCAGTGGAGACTGAGAGAGACGGGGAGAGGACAGAGTGAGGGTGTAGCAGAAGCGGTGCTCAGGGAGGGCCTCTGATAGGCAGCACCTGAGCAGGGACATTGAGCAAGGAGGAAGGTGAAGTGGGAGGGGGCGTGCTTTGTTCCCCCGAGTGACTGTCCTGGGCGCACGGGTGGGAGGTCACAGACCCATCCCATGGGCCCCACCTCTAAGGACTCCCTGTTGGGTCAGAGTCTAGAGCCACAGGGAAAAAATGGTGACAGCAGAGCCACCACATATAGTTGGCAGGTTGTGGATTGCCCAAGGGCATGGCCGAGGGGGCCAGTGGTGGCTGAAATCCAGCCCACACTCTGCTCACCAAGCCATGTGCCAGGTGCGGGCTGCATCCGTCTGGAGAAAGGGCAGCCTTTCCTAATTCACCCAAAGCTGCCGAGCGGGCTCGCAGGGACTGTGTAGTCCTGAGAGATAGGGCAGCTTCAAGGATGGAGAGCTTCCTGGAGGAGGTGACCTCTCATCAGTGCCCACCCCCCATGCCCCCTGTAGTGTGTGAACGAGCTGAACCAGTGGCTGTCTGCACTGCGGAAGGTCAGCATCAACAACACCGGCCTGCTAGGCTCCTACCACCCTGGAGTCTTCCGCGGGGACAAGTGGAGCTGCTGCCACCAGAGGGACAAGACAGGTGGGATGGAGGCCAGGGCCCCATGGCACTGCGTCTGTCCCCGAAAGGCCCCTGGAGCCCCGCCTCGCTGGCCTGGCGGGGAGCTACCTGGGCACTCACCTGAGGCCAACCAGGCCCCGCAGGTGCTCTGGGCAGAAAGGGTCCTGTGACCAGGTGGTTTGGGAAATGCCACTTGATGTGTGTGATGCATGTGGGTACCTCAGAGGCCCTGGAGGAGGCCTGAAAACGAGTTAGAATCCCATATCTGACACCGTGTAGCCCAGCACTTCCCAAATTCCTTTGCCAGGGACCACTTTTCTGGCCCAGTGAATGAGCTTGCAGAACCAGTGTTCCAAGGAACACACTTTAGGAATTCCTTGCTAATGAGGACTGAAGACAGCCCCCTAATTTGCATATTTCCATACTGGCAGCCCAGTACTGGAGCTGTGAGTTGGGGGCACCCTGGGCCTTGGGCACTGGAGGGATGGCAGAGAGAAGCTTCTAGAACTTTCAGTGATGATGGAAATGGTGTGTATCTGTACTGTCCAATACTGTGCATGTGCCAGGCCTGAACATGTGGTTATTGAGCACTTGTGATGTAGCTAGTGCAGCCGAGGAACTGAGCTTTGAATTTATTTTAATTTCAATTAATTTAAATATGAATGGCCTCATGTGGCTAGTGGCTACCCTCTTGGACAGTAAAGTTCTAGAATGCTCAAGATCTTCCTTCCTTATCCCTACCTGCTTTACAAAATTTTTTTTTAAATAAATTTATTTACTTTTGGCTGCGTCGGGTCTTCGTTGCTGCACGCAGGCTTTCTTTAGCTGCGGCGAGCTCTTCGTTGCGTTGCACGGACTTCTCACTGCGGTGGCTCCTCTTGTTGTGGAGCACGGGCTCTAGGTGCGCGGGCTTCAGTCATTGTGGCACACGGGCTCAGTAGTTGTGGCGCACGGGCTTCGTTGCCCCACAGCACGTGGGATCTTCCCGGACCAGGGCTCGAACCCGTGTCCCCTGCATTGGCAGGCGGATTCTTAACCACCGTGCCACCAGGGAAGTCCCCTTTGCTTTACAAAATTCTTGCACCCCAGTCACAGAGGAGACTCAGCACTTGGAGCCCCTGGCCTGCAGGCCAGGCTGACCCTCGAGCCCGGTGGGGTCCAGGCCCTCAGAAGCTGGCCCACCTGCTGTAGCCCAGCCCTGGCTCTGAGGTTGAGCAGTGGCAGCTTGTCACGAGGGCGTCCCTGGCTGGTTGACCTGACCTGCAGCCTCTGGCTGTAGCCTTGTGACAGTAACCCTTGTCATCGGTGCAGTGGGGCTCCCCAGGGCGCTACGAGGCAGGGCTGGGCAGCCGTATTTTGTGGAGCAGGAAACCGAGGCTTAGCAAATGCAGGCGTCTCTGCCAAGGTTGTAAAGCAGCCCGTGGCAGGGCCGGCTCATTCCAAGGCACAAAACCCCGGCTCCCCTCACCATGATCTCACAGTTCCAGGCTGCTCCCTGCTTCCTTCCAGGCAGGAATCTTCCAGAAAGTGGTCCAGCTCCCCAAGTTGTATTCTGCACAACTCCCACATCCTGCAGTCACGGCTCAGGAGCTAAACCCGAGAGAGATGAGGGGCTGCCCCCTGGAAGTGTGGGGAGCCACAGGCAGGCCCTGGGCCAGACTTCCCGGCTGTGCCCCCAGCCCAGCTCCGCCCTGGGGGCCCCTGAGTGCGTCCATTGCCCTCTCTAGGCCTCCGTTTCCCCATCTGCATTCCAGGAAGTTGGACATAAGCGCTCACAGTGCCTGCCTGTAACTCTGTCCTCTCTCTGCCCCCAGATCTGGGTTGCGACAAGACGCGGTCCCGGGTGACCCTGCAGGAGTGGAATGACCCTCTCGACCATGACCTGGAGGCTCAGCTCATCTACCGGCACCTGCTGGGTGTAGAGGCCACGCTGCGGTGAGGAGGCCTGTGCAGGGGCAGCGAGTCCCACGCGGCAGAACCTGGGAAGCCCCGGGGGATGTGCCGGCGGGTGCTGGAGCCGGGATTCGGGCTCAGGGCCCCTCCGCAGTGGCTGGTCTCTTCCCTCGTAATCAGGCTCTGCCCCTCCCTGCCTGTGGCAGCCACACCGGAGGGCATCTGGATCTCTGCAGCATGAGGCTGGCTTATCTTAGGTTGAAGGTCCCAGGGGCTGTGGAAGCCCAGGGTCAGGCTGTAGCTGCTCTGTGTCCCCGGCTGACCCAGCCCCCTCATCTGCCCAGCCCTCCCTTGGTGCCCTCAGAGCGCCAGGATTGCCCTCAGCCAACTCGCTTAATTCAGTGGTTCTCAGCCCTGGCTCCAGCTTAGCGAACACAGAACGCTTTTTAAAAACAGGATGCCTGGGCCCTACCCCACTGACTCAGAATCTCTGGTCGGGGGCGGGTTCAGCACGGGGATATTTTAAAGCAAGCCATCGCTTCCTGAGAGCACTGCTTCCCGGAGTCTGTTCGAAAGGGGGCAGTTTTCTCTCCCACGCCCCTGCCCCCGGGGCCTGGAGGGGCGCCGCGCATCCTCCTTGCCTCCTCAGCAGCTCTCCTAGGGTTTGTCTCCTGCGGCTACTGTAGCGCGTCACCATACGCTTCGTGGCCTAAACAACACAGGCTTATCCTCGCACAGTAAGAGCGGAGGAAGCACGTGAGCAGAGGGGTCAGGGGTCAGGCGACCCTCTAGGGCCTAGGAGGCAGCTGACGAGGAGGAGTTTGATCTGTTTTATCCAAAGTAGATCAGGGAGATGGTCAGAGCGCTGAGCCAGCAGAGTTCCTAAACAAGGAGCTTCAAGCACAGGGTCCGCGAGGCTGCCCACCATCCCTCCGTGTAAGCGCACAGGATTGTACCTGAGCGACCCGGGGACCTTTGGTGAACCCCGGGTAGGAGCCGTGCTTAAAATGTCCCTGTCTCCTGTTCCCATAAGAATGAAACTCATTCCGTGGCCAGGTAACACGAGGGGATTTTCAGGCCCCGCTTGCATCTCTCCCCAAGGGCCCTCTGAAAAGGAAGTGACACGGTTCAAGCTTGGTTTCCAAAGTGCCTTCCGCTGGTCCACCTTTGCTGAGGTGGAGGATGAGGGGGGACCAGAGGAGGAGGCTGGACGGCGGGAAGCGGGAGGCGACCGGGGGCCGAGACCTGGGTCCACACTTTTTCCTGTACGTTGAAGCAGCCCCCTGCCCCCAGGAGCCCCCTCCAGCTCAGGAGGCCTACCCTGGGTCACCCAGCCTTCTGGGCGAGGGCACCAGAAGCCCTCACATCCTGTCCTCACCCACAGGGAGAAGCACCGACAGCTGAGTGCGGACCCAGAGGCAGACCCTGTGCTCACGGGCCCCGGAGGAGGTAGGTGCTTCCCACCTGAGCCCCCTTTCGGGGATGGTGGGTGGGGCCTCCCTCCCAGGGGCCCTCCGGCCTTCCAGACAGGCGCGACCCTACCTGCTCTGCCCTCATCCTACATCTGCCTCCAGCCCCCGAGGACCCAGTGGCCCAGCTGCTCCAGGTACTGCAGGACCTCCGGGAAGCCCATAGGTCCAGCCCAGCTGGCTCCCCACCCTTGGAGCCCAGCCGCGTCCTGGAGCTGCAGACATGAGGCCGCCCCGCACAAGGCGCTGAGCCCCGCCAGGTGCTGGGAGACCCCCGCGCACTCTCAGCTTTTCACCTCGGTCCCTCTCGCTGGGGTGCACGGCCTGGGTCTCTCCTGGGCTGAGTGAGCTGGGGGAGCCAGGGGCCCAGGGGGTCCGGAAATCCAGAGCTGATACGGTTTTGGCCCGTCATCACCCACCTGACATCTCCAGGGGACTTCGGGGGTTCCTGCTCCTCTGTGAGGCCTGGCTGCTCCCCGCCAGCCCCACAGCCATCACTGCCACTAGCCCAGACTCCCCAGGGTCCCTCCTCTCCTGCCCAGGGTGGACCCAGCTAGAAAGCCCCCTCTAGGGTGGTCCACACCCAGATGGACTGATGCTTCTTGGACCCAGAGAGGCAGGAGGGAACACGGGGCCCAGGAGACCAAGCCTGGACCTCAGCACCCCCTTTGCTCCTGGCCACCACCACCCCTGCTCCCCTCATGGCCACAGCTGTGCTCCCCGGGACAGCATCGCGACGCTCTGTTGCCAACAATAAACCTGCCATGACTGTGGAGGCTCTGGGATCTCGAGATGGGGGTCAGCTGCGGGTGGGGGTGGCCAAGCGCCGGGCCGCCAGCACAGTCTCTGCGCATCCCCACTGCCCCGCTCTGTTTCCCCCCGTCCTGGGGACTTGCTTTCTCCTCCCACCTGCTCTCCCTGCCACACCCCTGGGTCCCACTCGTCCGTCTCCCACAGGCTACAGAACCTGATGTGTCTCACCAGCTGGCCCCTCCTGGCAGCCCCCAAACAGGCCCTTCCTCCAAGTGTCCTGAAGACTGCAAGTGGGGGCAGGTTCAGAACCTCAAACCACATGGCCTGGCCCTGGCAGTGGCCCTTATGCCAGCCCCCTCATCCCAAGCAAGACTTCCTCTGGTCATCACCTCCCCACTCTCCTCCGAATCCATCCCTAGGGACACAGTAGCTTTCAACATAATTAACAAAACAGGGAAGGGACAGGGTCTTCCAGCACGTTCTTAAAACTCATTCAACCAAGCTCAGAGCCTCACCTGTGAATCCCAGACCTGGGACAGTCCCCAAGGGCCCAGGTCACAGGCAGGACCCTTGACCCAGCTGACTAGCCGGAGTCTGGGGCAGGACCATCTGGACAGGCTGCATGCTGGATTCTTTGAGGGATAGCATAGAAAAGCAAAGGGGGCTGCAGATGCAGGGGGCTGCCCCGCTCCCCTGTACCCCATGGCTTTGGGGGCCCTATCGACCTTTTCTCCTGGTCACAGCCCACCAACCCAGTCCCTTGGATGTTCATCACTTCTTGGTCGTGATGCTACCATCCTATGGGCCTCGTGAGCCTCTTCACAGGGCTAGGCATCCCCTCACCCTTCCTGGCCCAGGGCTCAGGTCCAGGGTGACTGAGCCTGCTCCCCCCCGCCCCCATCACCGACCGCTGCTTCTCTGGCTACTTCCTTAGGGCCTCACACCAGTCCTCCTGCCTGGTGGATCTTCTTGTGTTTCAAGGACCTCATGGTCAGGAAGTATGGACCCTGGGTCTCCTGACCCCCAAGGCAGGGAGGGAAGGGGAAAGAGAGGTGTACACTTGGGTGTGCACTTACAGAGCCTGCAGCAAGTAGATCTGTGGATTTAACTGCACACGTGCAGCCGCCCACCGGCAGCACCCGCCACCCTTTCCTCCAGTGGATCTCGATGTGGGCACGGCCACTGCAGCCAGAGGGGCATTTAAATGAGTAAGTGCCTGGCTCCGCCCCCCACCTCTCCCGTGGGTACCAACACCCCTAGGTTCTCCTCGCAGGTTCCAGGCAGAGCTACCTACAACCCAGGATGCCGCATTCTTTTTGGAAGCCACCTGGAAAAAGGAGAGGGACAGAAGAGACTCCTGCCTGCCCTCAGTACAGGCAGGTACTGGAGGTCACCCCCTCCACCTGCCCAGGGATTCCACACCACCACTCCCCCAGGATCGCCAGGCCTGTTATTCATCCGGGGCTGGGGCAGATGCCCCAGATGTCTTGAGGGTCTGATTGGGCCCTCAGAGGCCTACAGCCCAGGGGCTGGCATTCAGTACAGGGCAGGCACCCCGGGAAGCCCTGAGTGGGCCCAGCTCACATAGCATATGCGCCTTTGGGCCCAACTCGTAGGAAATCTGGGCAAGTTCCCGCCAACCTTCTCTTGGGAAATTCTTGTCAAAGTAGAATTTTCAAATATGTTTTTAAAAATGACTCATAAAAATGAAACTGTGCACCTCAGATTGGACTTGAACCCACACGGCTGGGACTTTGACCCTGCCAAGACCCACAGTCTTCCAACTGAGATCACACACCTGGTTTCAGGACTTAATGACGCTCAGGTTCTTGATGTCTCATCTCAGAAAGAATTCAGTGAGAGACAAAGTGATAGGTAAGAAGTGGATTTATTTAGAGAGAAACACACTCCACAGACAGAGTGTGGGCCATCTCAGAAGGTGAGAAGGCACCAGGGTACAGGGTTGTCATTTCTTATAGGGGTGGGTAATTTCATAGGCTAATGAGTGGGGGGAGTATTCCAGCTATTTTAGGAAGGGGCGGGGATTTCCAGGAGTTGGGCCACTGCCCACTTTTTGATCTTCATGGTTGGTCTTGGAACTGTCATGGCGCCTGTGGGTGTGTCATTTAGCTTGCTGATGTGAGCGTATACTGAGGTTGAAGGTCTAGTGGAAAAAGTCGACTTGTCCGCCATCTTGGACCCATTGGGTTCTAATCAGTTTATATCATGTCCTTGGGCTATGTCATTCTTTCAAAGGTTGTGCCCTGCCTCCTTCCCTCCTGTTTCAAAAATATAGAATGGGCCTTCCCTGGTGGCGCAGTGGTTAAGAATCCGCCTGCCAATGCAGGGGACATGGGTTCGAGCCCTGGTCTGGGAAGATTCCACATGCCGCGGAGCAACTAAGCCCGTGCACCACAACTACTCAGCCTGCACTCTGGAGCCCATGTTCCACAACAAGAGAAGCCACCGCAATGAGAAGCCCGCGCACCGCAATGAGTAGTAGCCCCCGCTTGCCGCAACTAGAGAAAGCCTGCGCGCAGCAACGAAGACCGAACACAGCCAAAAGTAATAAATAAATAATAAATTTATTTTAAAAAATGTATAGGGTATGAACATGTATCAGAGATTTATTACACTCCAAGGAGGAAATGAATGTTTGGCAAAGCTAGTTCATAGACTATTTTGAGAGTCTGGGTAACGTTAGAATAAGATTGTGATATTAGATACAAAACTGGTTGATGGAATTATCTTCTCTATGGGATGGAAACCTACAAGTTAATAAGTGACTTCAACGTCTGGGCTCTAATTGAATAATAAATTTCAAAGTCAAACACAGGTGGCTTCCCTGGTGGCACAGTGGTTAAGAATCCGCCTGCCAATGCTAGGGGACATGGGTTCGATCCCTGGTCCGGGAAGATCCCACATGCTGTGGAGCTACTAAGCCCGTGCGCCACAACTACTGAGCCTGTACTCTAGAGCCCATGAGCCACAACTACTGAAGCCCACGCGCCTAGAGCCCGTGCTGCACAACGAGAGGCCACTGCAGTGAGAGGCCCGCACATTGCAATGAAGAGTAGCCTCTGCTCGCCACAACCAAAAAAAGCCCGCGCAGCAACGAAGACCCAACGCAGCCAAAAATACGTAAATAAAAAATTAAAAATTAAAAGAAATAAATTCTTAAAGAAAAAAAAAGTCAAACACAGGTCCATTCCCCAAGCTTAGGGATTGGCAAACTTTTTCGGCAAAGGCCCAGGCATGCAGGTTTTGGTTACCATTACTCTTGTAGCACAAAAGCAGCCACAGGCAATGAGGAAACCAACGGGCATGGCATATTCCAATGCAACTTTAAATACAAAAACAGGTGGCAGGCTTGATTTGGTCCCGGAGCCCTCACATTTTGACGATCTCTGCCCTAGATATTTATTTATTTGTTTGTTTGTTTCTAAAACCCCTGTTTTTTTTTTAATGTATGCTTTTTTAAAATTTTTATTTATTCATTTTATTTATTTTTGGCTGCGTTGGGTCTTCGTTGCTGTGTGCGGACTTTTCTCTAGTTGCCATGAGCCGGGTGGGGGGGCTACTCTTCGTTGTGGTGCTCTGGCTTCTCTTGTTGTGGAGCAGGGGCTCTAAGCACGTGGGTTTCAGTAGTTGCGGCATGCGGGCTTAGTTGCCCCACGGCATGTGGGATCTTCCCGGACCGGGGCTCGAACCCACGTCCCCTGCATTGGCAGGCGGATTCTTAACCACTGCGCCACCAGGGAAGCCCTGCCCTAGATATTTAAATAACCCCTGGTCAGGCCTGTTCAACAGTGCTCCAGTATGGCATTGTTGGGATATGCCACACACTCCCCCTTCCCCTTATTTCCAAGGTTGGAAAATGTTTCTTAGCACCCCATGTTCTAGCCGCCCCTTCCACAGTGGTGCCAGGCAGACCTGTCTCCCTTAGACTAAGGAGAAGATGGGAATGGCCATTGGGACTCCTCTCGGGGCACACCAAAATTGAGCTGCTGAAAACTCTTTGGGGGGCTGACAACTTCTGGAGCTCAGGATCTCATGTTGGTCAGAGAATCAAAGGGCAAGTGTGACCAGAACTCCCTAGAGAGGACAGACTTCCACAGTGGCAGGGAGGGAAGCCCCTTCAGAGTTAAAATCCTCT